TTTTCAATATCGCTTGACAGCTGCATCCTACCTTCGAAATGGAAGGAAGCAATCATCTGTCTGGCGACAGCGTTCTGCCCGCGAAGTACCGGCCTGTCAGTTTGACAAGCGTAGTAGTCAAGTTGTTTGAAAAGCTGATAAGGGATTCAGTGGAGAACCACCTGAATAAATTCAAGCTTCTCAGTATTGCGCAACATGGATTCTGCAAGAGATTTTCATATCAGAATAATCTACATGTAGCTCGTGAAAGCTGGGCCGAAGAAGCAGACAGTGACCACGCTGTAGACGTGATATTCGTGGACTTCTTGAAAGCTTTTGACACTGTTTCTCATCTTCGACTCTCATTAAAGTTGAGATCTTACGACATATCTGGTCGCGCCCTTCAATGGGTATCTGCCTTCCTTGAGGGGAGGGAACAGTGCGTACGGGTGGGGCGTAGCCTTTCGCTCAGGCAAGCTGTTCTTAGTGGCGTCCTGCAGGGCTCGGTATTAGGGCCATTGTTGTTCGCGATCTATGTAAATGACTTGCCGGGAGAGCCAGGAATGTCATCACTAATGTTTGCTGACGACCATAAGCTCTGGAATATTGTGGATATCCCCGGGGGTCCTGAGGCAATTCAGGGTGTCTTGAATAGACTCTGGGAATGGTCTACCTTATGGTTGATGCCTATACATAGGGCCAAGTGCTCTGTTCTCCAAATCGGAGCTGCTAATCTTCCCACCCGATATGTTGTCGGCGGTGATGAACTCCTTGTTGTCACTCAGCAGGTTGATCCAGGGGTCGTATATTCATCAGCACTTCATTCTGGCGACAATTGGAAGGAAACTGCTTGTCGGACGTTTCGTATGATGTGGTTTATCCGCCGCTCTTTTGGAATCCTAACGGCCAATTTGTTTGTGAAGCTATTCTCGGCATTCGTCCGACCCCACCTGGAATATTGTATCCAGACTTGTCCACCATGTCTTAACGGAGACAAAATGGACTTGGAGGTGTTACGAGTGGGCACTCGGTTAGTGTAGGGTCTACGGGAACAAATGTACCCTGAACGCTTGCTCAGTTTGGGGATGTACTCAATGCACTACCGAAGGTTAAGAGGGGACTTGCTTCTCACTTATAGTATTTTGACGGGTAAGATAGGCCCGGATTTGTCAGGGCAATTTAGTCCCGCTACGTTACCTAATCTCCGCGGTCACCCACTGAAACTGCATAAGCCACGGTCTGAGAGGATTAGGACGGAAACTCGTTCGTCCGGCTGATTTACAGACCGTTGGAATTCCCTTCCAGATCACGTGGTTAGGGAACCTACGGTAAAGGGTTTTGCGCGCCAGCTCGATGCTCTTGGGTGGCAACACCAAACTTTTCCTTTTTCCCAACTGACTCACCTTCACTTTTCAGTTCTTTTTTAAGGAATCAAATATCTTGGTATTCTACTTGATTAGCTGTTTTCACTTTCACTTTTTGCCTTCTGGGTTTACTTTTTCTTACTTCACGTAACCGGCCCAGCAGGGACTGCTAAGACATGATACGTGGGCATTAATTGGTTGGACAGGGTGTGATGCGGTCTTCGTTTTAGATCCATCAATATTTCAAAGTCTGCTAACTCCTGGTTCAACAACCCGCTGAAGAAGGAACACTCACGGGATAATCCTTTCGTTCCAGTCCCGCTTGAACTTGAACTTGAGCCTGAAGCGAACATTTGACTTTCACGAAGTTGCAAACATTTGGG